CAAGGAAGCAGATCGGGCACACTCAGAGGAGAAAGCAATGTGAAGATGGAGCCACAGGGATCTGAAGATGCTGGTATTGAAGACAGAGATGATGCAGCCACAACAGAGGAGGGAAGAGGTGAGAACAGTCTTCCCTGGGGCTTGTGGAGGGAGCCTGACCATGCGGACACCTTGATTTCTGCCCGGAGACACGGATTTTGAAGTTTTGGCTTCCAAACTGTATTCTCCAGATTCTCTCCAGAACTATGAAAACTAGTTAAAGAACAACTTTTGTTGTTTAAATCACTGACTGTGTGGCCATCTGTGGGTCACAGCTTATCATGGACAGCAGTAATTTCAGTATGAATAGAGAGCAAAGAAAGTCAAACCAAAGTAAATGAACTGAGTTCCTACTGTGTGCCAGGCCCATGCTAGAGTTTATCATAAACTTTTATTTTTAATCCATTCTTCTACTAATACAGATCTGAAATTTGCTACTGAATTTTCGGGGTCTGACAGTGACTAGGTCACCACATTGCCTTGTCCCAGATTTAGCAGAGGGATAACCAAGATTGAGAATGTGGACATTTACCACTGTTCAAATGTAGTTTTCTAGTCACAGAAATTAATGCCAATCTTTTCTTTTGATGTTCTGTTTTTCTCATCTTGTGCATTAAAATGGTTCAAAATACTGAGGGAACATCTGCTCACACAGGGTAGCAAAAAGACAGATAATATGCTTTCCAATGAGCCTAATAAGAGAATGTTCTTTTGGGAACAGAAATTAGGTACACTGTCCATAAATCTAGGCCTGAAAATATTCCCTGAAGACTTATGAAACTGGATAAAACTGAAAAATTACACACAAGTTTCCACAAAATATCTAATTCTCAAATGCCTCAAATTCTCTTAAAAAAAGTAATTTTCCAGGAAGAAAAACCACCACCTAAATAAAGTATAATGAACATAATTGTCACCTATGAATACCACTTGTCTGGGAATGGTTTATTTTCCATCTTGTGTCTCATTCACCAGCATTAATCAATATGACTCTAGCCACCATTTCAAGTAAACATCTTGGACAATGTAACCTTCATTTTATTCCTTGGTAATTTTATAAAAATCCAGTATATATCCTGCCTTACACATATGACTGACCCCCTGCTCCCACAAAATATCACCTTTGATATGCTACCTACAAAAATAACCTATCAACGGATGAATCACGGCATTCCCTGGTGTTCACTGCTTTATCTTACTCTTTCGTGACATTGAAAGGAGATTTGAGGGTGGGCGCAGGGAGTCAACAGGTAAAAAACAGAACAGACATATATGTGATATAGGCACTTTTCAATTATCAGTCACTTTGGGGATCTGGAATACTAGGTTGGATCATATAAAATTTCTAATATTCAACTGTTTTTTAATGTAAAAAAAAGCCAGCAGTTTCCTATGAACCTACTCAATATTATGAATCAACCCTATAGATAATTTCTAAGCATCAATTTAATTTTAAGGTCCTTATACACCAAATCTTTACCAAAGCTATTAACAGCAATACTATGGACACATTCTCCCTTAGGCTCTAATCCAGGGGCTGGCTACCTGCTAGTGAGGAGATTACTGAAGATAATTAACATGGCAAAATGGATGAGAAGGAAGGAAATGGAAATAAGAAGACACAGGTGATCTACCAAGTGGATTATACTCCTTTACAGAAAGACCATGAACTTATCTAAGTGCTACCTTTTCCCTCAGAGGCACTCAATGACCTTGCAACATTGTTTTAAAGTACAATAGAAGCAAGTCTTGAACCTTTCTCCTTCAAAAGTAAGTGGTTCGAAAGCTATGATAAGAACCTAGTTCTAAAAACATCCTTCTCACCTATCATTTCCTACTTCCTTTCCCAGCCAAAAATCAAAACAAAAATAAAAATATCCCAGTAGTAAATGAAAAATGAATGAGTAAATAAAAAGTTCTTGATTTTAAAAATCCATTCATAGTATTAGCCAGTTATAAGGGGTGCAGAAGAGAAATCACATAATTTAAAAATGCAAGGAAAAAAGTATAAAATAGGAGAAAAAGGGCAATGGGTGAGAATTCTAATTTCTGGTACAAAACATCTCACAGATTATCAAGTTCAAAAAGCAAAAGTTCTGAAAGCTTAAGTACAAAGGCTAATATTTGAAAGATCACTGTATTTTCTATTCCAACTATGGGTGGCATGACACAGAATAGTATCCAACTGCCCTGAAATTATTTCAAAGAAATGATACAGAAAATAGGTATGTATCACACTGTAGAATCAGGTAAATCATTAGGAAATTTTACTGATTCTACAATGTATGTATGCATAATACCTAAAAGACAGACTTTCCCGTACAAAATACTAATCAGTAGTGCCTCTCAAACTTAATATAGTTTTGCCCTTATGGATGGCATTCTAGATGATTCTGAGACTACTACATCCAGATAGTGAAATCCATGAAGAATAATCCTATAAAATAAAAAAGTAATATGCAAATTGACCCTCATGCCCTCACACAAGATGGCCACCCCCATGTGGTCAAAGATGGCAGACAGGGGAGGGTAGTTATGGCAATCAGGCCTCCAGGGGAAGGAAGTTGAGGGCAACCAGGCCTGCAGAGGAGAGCAGTTAGGGGTGACAAGACTGGCAGGGGAAGGCAGTTGAGGGTGACCAGGCCTGCAGGGGAGGGCAGTTGTGGTCAATCTGGCTGACAGGGAGCAGTTAGGTGTCAACCAGGCTGGCAGAGGAGTGGTTAGGGGCAATCAGGCTGGCAGGCAAGTGAGCGATTGGGAACCAGCAGTCCTGGATTTTGAGAGGGATCCCAGATTGAAGTGGGTGGAGGCTGGGCTGAAGAACCTTCCCTCCCACACCCTCCTTCCCCCAGTGCACGAATTTTTGTTCATCGGCCCTCAAGTAGTCTATAAAATGGAAATCTTCAGTGACATCAAAATACAGTTTCAAATAAAAAACTGCCTACAACCCAATTCAAGCTATCGTCTATCCCACAGATGATAATGTGAGTAGTAATATTAATGGTATCACTGTGTTTTAAAAGGTTAAAAAGAGCTGGGACCGGTTTGGCTCAGTGGATAGAGCATCGGCCTGCGGACTGAAAGGTCCCAGGTTCAATTCCGGTCGAGGGCCTGTACCTTGGTTGCGGGCACATCCCCAGTAGGGGGTGTGTAGGAGGCAGCTGATCGATGATTCTCTCTCATTGATGTTTCTAACTCTCTCTCCCTCTCTCTTCCTCTCTGTGAAAAATCAATAAAATATATTTAAAAAATAAATAAAAGGTTAAAAAGAGAAAACCTGGTAGCTGAAGAATTATGGCACCAATAACCATTTTTTCACTTGAGCAACACATGATTTAACCAGTTTTCAAGAGTGCTGATATCTTATGGAGTTCCTTGAAGCAACATTCCACCAATAGATAAATCTTCCTGAAAGACTAAATATTATTTTTTTAATGTGCTTGGCAAGATACTGAAATAGTTTTGAGGAACTCAGTGAACTAAAAATATGGCAGTTTCTTCATTCCTCTTGGTTTTAAGGATCTTACCGTTCCATAAAATAATGTGTCTTTTCAAATAATAGGGAAAAAGAGGTCAATCTAAGTTTACCGTGTGACTTAAGAGTAGCAGTAATAAATGCACTTGTGATTCTAAAAAAAAAAAATTGTTGGTAGTGCTAGTTCTTCCTCTCACTTCCTCATGCTGTTCTGATGAGCTAGTTCTAGTCAGTACACAAAGCAAAGCTTGGCACATAATTGAAATGCCATCAATATTCCTCTATTATATGTGAAGGTAAAGTAAAAATGAACTTCCTTTTGTCTCTTCAGAAAAGACTGCATTTTAAAGCAGCTTCAGATTGTAAGAGGACCTAAAAATAATCATGGCATCTTCAATTAAAGCAGGCTGGCATTAACAAAGGCACAGTGATCAGGGGTAAAGGTAAATCCTTTACTTGTTCTTAATTTTTAAGCTAAAATTAAAAATTAGGAAAGATTTCTAAATTTCAGCTTTTAAGATTATCAAAACTCTAAAACATCATTTGATCACTATTCAAAAACCCAGTATCTCAATATCGTGTGCTGCTAACTCATTTCAAAGTTCTTCATAAGACTGCATTATTTTTGGACTTTTAAAAAATTCTATTTTTCTGGAAATGGCAGAGCAAAGGCTATAATAAAATGTTTATAGAATTTTAACATTAGATTTAAGTAAAATGCATACATCTGAAATATATGTATCATAATTTATATTGTTTTGTAACATTTAATATATATGATCTTTGAACGCATAATAATCTGGCCACTGTGTGTGTGTGTGTGTGTACATTATTAAAAAATATATAGAGGCCCGGTGCATGAATTTGTGCATGGGTGGAGTCCGGTCAGATAGGCTAGAAGGAGAAGACATGGGTGGTTGGTCAGCTTGCCTGCTGGTCGAAATCCTGGTTGAGGGGACAATTTGCATATTCGCCTTTTATTATATAGGATATACACTGAGTGGCCAGATTATTATGTGTTCAGAGATCATAATAATCTGGCCATTCAGTATATGTTATGTACATACATATATATGTTTATATATTTATACAGATTTCTTTGCATAGATCTATCCAGAATGATACCATCCTTTAACTTTTATATATCTTAGTCTCCTGTGAGAAACACTGAAGTGAAATGGGTCACTTTTTTTTAAGACTGCATTTTTAATTTGCTTATCAAGTCATTGTTCACCGGCAGTGGAAGTTCTACCAGCCCAGTAGGAAGACATAGTGTTGGGAAAGTCCAAGTAGGAAGAGTGAGAGTTTATTCACATGGAAATTTGCTCATAGTGGAGCAGCTATCAAAAGGACTCATGGATTACAATAGGGCAAAAGGCTTTCCTTCTCTGCATTCCACTTCTCAGAAAATGTTAGCCTAGTGGGAGGAATGGAATACATAAAAATAGAACATGAAACCTCTCTTTTTTTCTGCCTCTTGTTTTTCCCCAAATTATCTTTATTCTACAGTCCATCTTATCGTCCCTGCCCACTGTGTCTGTTCCTTTCATTCTAGTTGTTTTCCCATTTCGCCACTTCCTTTTATTTCAATGTGCCATTCCTCTGGAGCCCTACTCATTTTTCTCCTGCCTCCTTATTTTCCAGTCTTCCTGAACCATCACAATTCCCTTCTGTGCTTGGAGCAAACCATCCCACCACTATCACCGAGTCCTTCCTGACCCTTTCTGGCACAACACCTACACGGAAAGACCCATTCTTCTCATGAAGTTGGCAAGGAGTAGTTATGATCTTAACATTTTTTCAAAATGTAAATTCAACACCAGAGAAAAAAGAGGAAATTTTATAGTCAACTACAAGGGCATTTACACTCTTTGTTTGTAAAGAGTAAATAATAAGTAATGAGCTAGCATTTCTCCTATTTCCAAGGCCCTTTTCCATTTCATACCTGTGTTCTCTGCTCAATTAATATAATTTCAAAGTCTTATTACAGCACCTAAAGTTGAAACAGGTAATATAGTCTGCTACACTGTGGTGTGTTCGGTTGGGCAAATTAAATTTAAAATAAAGCCAAGGCTAGTCATGGCAGGAAGGATGATATGTAATTAGCACATCTGTAATACTGACTATAATTGTCACATTACAATACACTAATCCTACAAAACCCAAGATATAACTCCCCGCCTCTACATACACCAGTTCTATGTAGGGATCCTAAAGGATCATTCCACAGAAGGAGATCCAGTGACAAGTCAATGTTGACATAATAGGGAGAAAGTAACCAAATTTACAGCACAAATGCTGAGACTAGTTCAGATGGACTATTCACAGAAATGGTTTCCGACTCTACACATCGTGGTAGCCAGCTTCTGTGGTGCCATCTTCTCTTCCCCACCCACCCCACCCCTTGAACATCCTCTCCTGATAGTCACACTTCTGTGTAGACACCTCCCACAATGTGTCAACAGACACAGCAGACATGTTCTGTGACTAATGCAATATGACCAATAGGATATGGAAGTGATAAAGTATGATTTCCGAGATGCAAGTGTTAATCTTTGAAATTCAGTGTGCTTCCTACTTAGTGTATGCACCTGGATTAACTAACTGTCCCTATAGCAAGTAATATGAGTATTAGCAAAGGACTACAATTCACCTAAGTCATTGGTCGGAAAACTGCAGCTCTCAAGCCACATGCGGCTTTTTGGCCTCTTGAGCATGGCTCTTCCACAAAATACGACATGCGGGTGCGCATGTAGAGTGCAATTGAAACTTCGTGGCCCAGACACAGAGGTTAGTTTTCGGCTCTCAAAAGAAATTTCAATTGTTGTACTGTTGGTTCTTGGCTCTGTTGACTAATGAGTCTGCTCACCACTGACCTAAGTCATTTCCAGCTAACCAGCTCCCACTCACCTTTCCCCAATACTTCTAATATTGAGCAAAGTAATTTAAAGCAGTCAATATGTTGAGCAGATTAAAAAACAGAATCAGGTTCTCCTCTTCAACCTCACAAGAGAACTCAGCCCAGAGAGGAGACAGAGAAACGACGAGGAAAGAGGGCTGAATTTTATCCTTGCTGAGAATTCATCAGATTGTTTGTGGGTAGTAGCCATAGCCAAGAGAATTTTTTTTGGTCTAGACGCCCCTTGTAATCCCTTCATATCTCAAGTCCTTGGCACTCAAGGTTACTCAGCATGACCCAGACTGCAGGATGTCTTGCCTCTCAGCACTCTGGGGTGTGCTCAGAGGCTGTGTGTACTGTTAACATGATCCCAGGAGGCAGTTCTCGTAAGTAGAAAAATGTTATGGCCTTTCACCACACTCTGACATTTTTAAAGTACTTAGTCTTAGTAAGAGTCTGAAACAGTATTAAGAGCTCACGATAGCCCTCTGAAATATAGGCTATTAATTACCTCCATTTTATATGTACGTGAAGAAACTGAAGCTTTGGGAGACTGACTATTTTCCCAAAGGCACACAACTCACAAGTGGCAGAGTTGGAACTAAATGCAAGGTTCCCACTAGTAAGCTATTTTGCTTCTAGCAGGGCACATTTGTGATGCCGACCTCTGGCCCAGTTAAATTCAGAAGTCAACTTAGCTAAATGAGAGAAAGACATACAAAAGTTTCAATTCAACAAAATTGAAGGTTATATATGTACCAGAAACAAACCATATCATCACTTACATCTGATGTTTAAAGGATTCTTTGGAATTATATGTAGTTTACCAACATGGGTTCTGATGTCATCTAAATGACTCTGTGATCAGTTCCCAAGAAAGTAAAAAGGCAGAGAAAATAATATGGGTTCACAGAGTTAAGTACTACATATGGTAGAAACTAATCAAAACTCTGCCCTCAGTCTTCTGGTGAACATTCATTTCGAAAGGAAATGCAAAGAATTTTTTCACGTTTGCTCTTTAACATATAAATGAAAAATATTAAGCTTCAAGTATGATTTAATGAATTAAGTCTTCTTAAATTGACATGACAAAACGTCTCATCTTGAAAATATAATTTAGTAACATCTTTAAAACTTTCCAGACTGCAAAATAAATATAAGGGAATGAGCAAAAAGATAGGGTAAGTGATGTAACTTGATAAAGACAACTATACACACCACTGGTTAGCAACATTCGCGCCACTACAGTTTCCTTTTTGTTGAGCCAAAGATTTTCTTGCGCACTATTAAAGTCAACACCTCTCTCACACTGGGGTCTTACAGAACAAGAGTTATTTACAGTTTAATGTCTCTGGCTCAGGCCCTAAGGGGGATGGCCAGGTCAGAATGCGCATGTCAAAGAGCAGCATGCACCTTCCAGAAACAGCTTCTGTCTCCAAGCCTGTCCTTTCCCATCCCACAGGTGGGCAGCTGCTCCAGGCCTGAAGCCACGCAGAGGCCTCCACGACTGGGGACCCATGGGTCTGGCAGCTTACATTTAAAACAGAAGTGAGGCCAAAACAGGTTTGGCTCAGTGGACAGAGTGTCGGCCTGCGGACTGAAAGGTCCCAGGTTCAATTCCGGTCAAGGGCATGTACCTTGGTTGCGGCCACATCCCCCCAGTGGGGGTGTGCAAGAGGCAGCTGATGGATGTTTCCCTCTCATCGATGTTTCTAACTCTCTATCCCTCTCTCTTCCTCTCTGTAAAAAAACTCAGTAAAATATATTTAAAAATAAATAAATAAAATAGGAGTGAGGATGTTAAATGCGCAGATTCTTACCAAAAAGAATGTTTCTTGCATTTGGCTCCTGGGGCCTACATTATCTTTTTTAAAAAAGAAAAAGTTATTTGGGCTTGTTTGGACTATTTTCACTTTTCGGACTGTACTTGGCAGAAAGAGGAGTGAATTCCACGGATGTGAGCTCACTTCTAAGTTTTTTCATGTTTTCTTGATAGGTTTGCCATGCTTAGGAGACCTCTGCAGCTGCAGACAGGTGAAAACACACACGGTTTATCATCACCAAAGACCTGGGACATGAAGCACTCATTAAAATCTACCGAAAAATTGTACATTTTCAAATGAGTGGTGAGCAAGCACACACTGGAGGAGGAAACAGAACCCTGCCCCATCCACACCCTCTCTTCCCAAAGCCCCTGGCGGAGCCTGCAGGGGGGATGTGCACCTGCGCTGGAAAGGGTGCACGTGAGAGGAGAGGGCCCTTCGGTGGTGTGAAAGCCTCGCTGAGGAACTTACTTTAAGCAGAAAAGCACCAGTGTTCTCTCTTACAGACAGCCAGCACCGAAAGGGATTCCAAAACAAAATCTGCCTGGACTCCCAACATTCCAGACCTTATTAACAGGAGGCTCGTCCTTGCGAACAAAGGAAACACTGTCAGCCCTGCACAGGTGGATGCAGCCACCCCCGCCAGAGCCCGCACGTCCAAAGAGGGCAGGCTCCAAGGTCTGTCCACAATCTCAGACCTTACTACAGTCACTCTTATCAGCAGAACGCATAAACGTTCCTGCTCATTCTCAGTAAACAGCTACTGGGGGGCACATTCTGGTTTCTAAAAAATGGTAGAAAAATACAGAAACAGGAAAAAAGTGTCAGGACCTTCTGGGAAGGGATTGGAATACAAAAATCTGATAGAAATAAAAAATACAGCTCCGGTCAGAAGGCAATTTGTGATCTCTGAAGAAGAAAAGTGCAAGAGTAATGCTTTTGTCACCGGCTTTCAGTGTTACAATCAGAAATTATGACTCTATGTGGTGGAATTTCATCTGAAGTGTAACTGAATCTTTGGATTCTCAACAATTCCAAAGGTCAGATGCCAAAGTATGCTGTATCCTCATTTCTTCTATATTTGGAATTCTTACCATTTTGTCTCAAATTTTCCCACACGTCCCTGTGAGTTCTAAAGGTCTTCGCATAAGCTGCTATCTATATGCTGGCAACTGAAATGGGGCTCTCTCCCCACCAGTGGATGTTCATAAAGTTTTGATTTTTCACTCTGACTTTACATAATCATTTCTATAGTAGAAAACTTTCCTCTCCTTTCTGAGGGTACATGACAAAGGGGCTACAACTCTGGTTGAAAATAAGGGAATTTCAGTTACAAACCTACATCCCACTCGGTAACTTCCTTAATAAATGCTTTGGTTTTTACCAAGGATAAAATGGAAGGAATAAGACTTCCCTCTCAATAAAGACAACAAGAACTTCTTTAGCCTCTGTGATGAAAGGCAATAGGATAATTTTAACTGGGTTTTGGCCACAGAACAGGCAAGGCCCAGCTCTTGCACAACAATCTGCACAAGGACAACATTTTCCATTCCTGTCCTGAACACCCATGGACTTGGTGCCCGAGCTCTGATCCAAAATCAAATGCTGGAAAAGGAAAAAATTCTTGAAGTATTTCCCCCTAACTAGTCCGCATTATTATGCCCCAGGAAGACAGGCAGGCTTCACAGAGGAGGTGCTCTCTGAGCTGGTTCTTGGAAAACTGAGAGTTTGCTAGGCAGAGGGACAGAAAGGGCAGGCCAAGATGAGAGAGTGAGGCATATTCATGAAATGGGACAAAACTTTGGGCATCGGGTGCAGGAGGGGGAAGGAGGACCTGCTGTACTTTAGGAGGCTAGTGTGTGCCATAGTAAGCAGTTTAGAGTTTATTCCCCAGACAATGGGACTACTCCATTAAGAAGGGGATTGGCATATTCACATCTAATGTAGCTGTGGCCATTCATAATAGAGAGGATGGGATCAGGAGCAAAATAAATACTCATACATCTTAAAAGATAAAGTCAATTAAGGATCACAGTGAGCAAAGGTAATCATAGCTTGAGCTTATAAGAAATGTATGAGAAGCCAGGTCCATGCCGAGGGTATCCAGAGTGCTCTCTCACTTGGAGCTGTCAGTGTCCCATAACGTGGCACTTGGCCTGAGGTGCCAGATTTCTGCCCAGTAACAGCCCCTCCCAGACAGCCTGAATGAGACTTTCTGAAGGAGTGGTCCAGGTTTGGCTTTCAAAATGTAAGATGGCTGCAAGCAGGAGGAGGCCACATCTGATTTATAAGGGAAGGAGTTGCAGGGGAAGAGTAGAGGGAGGGTAGAGAGATACCTGCTTTGAGAAGGGGATCGCTGGGATGAGAGTGGACCCTTAGATTACAGGAGGAAGATGATAAGAATGTTCAAGTAACAAGCGTGACCATTATTATACTGAAGTGTTAAGAACTAAGAGAGGCTATTTTTAATATTTAATAACAGAAATTAAAATACCCATTTTACAGGTGAAGGGAAAACTAAAAGCAAATAATAGCATGTGACAGAGCCGGATGTCTGATACCAAAGCCCCAACTGTTCTCCACCCACATCAGACCATTAACTCCAGGTAGTTCTGGGGCCACTGTGGGAGTTTGTCCTGCCCATGCTGTTTTTCTGAAGGTAATTGTAAATGAAAGAGGGGGTGGCTGCAGAACTCTATCCTTCAGCAATTTGTTCTAGAAGAGGAAATGGTACAATAATTACGTGTTCAAACAGAAGACCTATTCTGGAAAACAAAGCAATTAAGATAAAGGATTCATTCCATAAATATTTACTGAGTACTTGCCATCCACCAGGCATAGTCCCAGGAAATAGGTAGAGAACGGTTAGTTAAGCTAGGTTCCTATATTATTATATCGGGAACAACATCATGAATCACACCTATGTAACCATCTTTAATATCAGACATAGTTCGCATTAGCGGTTTGGCTCAGTGGATAGAACATTGGCCTGCGGACCAAAGGGTCCCAGGTTTGATTCCAGTCAAGGACATATGCCTGGGTTGCAGGAGGCAGCCAATCAATGATTTCCTCTCATCATTGATGTTTCTCTCTCTCTTTTCCTCTCCTTTCTTCTCTAAAATCAATAAAAATATATTTTAAAAACATATCAGACATAGTTCTCTTGGCTGACCATCATTCCCAGAGGAAATTTGATTAAAACAAAAACAAAAACATGAAGCCAGATTAGGCAAAGATATTCTGATTCTGGGAGGTCTGAAATGAGATTTAGGAATCTATATTTTTTTTTTATTTTTTTTTTTAATATATATTTTATTGATTTTTTACAGAGAGGAAGGGAGAGAGATAGAGAGCTAGAAACGTCGATGAGAGAGAAACACCGACCAGCTGCCTCTTGCACACCCCCTACTGGGGATGTGCCCGCAACCAATGTACATGCCCTTGACCGGAATCGAACCTGGGACCCTTCAGTCCGCAGACCGACGCTCTACCGCTGAGCCAAACCAGTTTCGGCAGGAATCTATATTTTTTAAAATATATCTTATTGATTTCAGAGAGGGAGGGAGAAGAAGAGAGATAGTGTACTACGTGTACTTAGTTTTATCACAGGACCAAGTACAAATTTAAAATTTGTCCCTTTTTTGTTAACATTTGTTTTGTTTTTTTGTAAGTGGTAGGAGGGTATAACACATTTAGATTTCCTCAAAAGCTAGGGAATTCTGAAGTAAAAATGTTGTCCTCCTCTGGAAATATGGACATTTTAACCCATGTAGAATTAAGAAAATACCATAGGCCACATATCATGGTTAATAAGTGTATATCCTATTTATGAATGGAAACAGATCAATCACTCTAGTATTAACTGCAGTTTAATATTAATCAGATGGTGTCATACACTTCAGAATTATGTAAAAGACTTGTTTCCTGGGTATAGTAGTCAGCTGAAATAAATTCAAGCACAAAGACACTCTGAGATAGAATGTTCCCAATTATAAGAAAGCAGAAAAAGTCTTTGGGGATTATTACGGCTACTACTACATTCTGAAACAGACCGAAACATGAGCAACATAATGGACTACATATTGGTTAAGAGGTGCTTTTGTTCACCTTCTCCACATGATGCATGTTTCCCTCTTTGCTTTGACAACCAGGAGGCTCAGAGCCTCATACATGGCCTACAAAAGGAATTCTACAGGATACTTTATGTACAGACTTACTAATTCCTTATCTCATTTGTCCTCAGTTTCCTCAGATACTTATTTAATAGACTGTCTTTTAGAACAGTTTTAGGTGTGCCCATTCATATATGCCTTGTCCCCACATACACTTAGGGTATATGGAGCTTTTGGTGTTACACATTCTATGGGTTTTGACAAATGTAAAATGACATGCATCCACCATTATAGTACTTTTATAGAGTACTTTTGCTGCCCTAAAAATCCTCAATGCTCCACCTTGTCATTCCTCCTTTCTTCCTAACTCCTAGAAAATATGAATCTGTTTACTATCTTCATAGTTTTTTAAATATTATTCTCAATTGTAATTGATATATAATATTAGTTGTAGGTGTATAAAATAGTGATTAGATATTTATATAATTTATGAAATAATCACCCCAATAAGTTGAGTACCCATCTAACACCATACATGGTAATTACAATATTATTGACTATATTCTCTATCCTGTACTTTACATCCCTGTGACTATTTTGATCGATACAGAAGCAACCAAAGATCCATAGATGAATGGATAAAGAAGATTTGAT